TAACATCAGAGCCCAAATGCAATTTCAGGGCCACCAACCCTGCTCTGAATTGTGACCTCCTGTGCTTGAAACGAGCTACAGGTTCTCTTAATATTCATCAGCAGAGTTGCAACATCTTGGTCACAGAGCCATCCTTGCCCTAGGGGTAGGATCGTTGCAGGTGACTTTTCATCCAACATAGCAGTGGCCATCTCTGGTCTGGGAAGATTAGTGAAAGTGTCATTGATTGATGCAGTCTTGGTAAACTCCAAAGCCACGCAATACCCCAGAAAATTTAATTGCATCATTGTATCATCAATCAATCAGGTCAGATTAGCCTTATGTACATGAGAAATGAGTGAATGACTGTAAAGTGTTCAAGGTAGTGTGTGTGCTTCAACATCTGTAAATTTCCGATAATCAAATGTTGCATATTCAAAATGTCTCTTTTTAAATGGTGTGCTGCCTTGACATCTTCTTGTGATTATATAGTAATATTAATATTGATTATGAAAAGTAAAATATTATCAATGAAAATCTTGTAATTACCCAGCAATATCTGCTCCACATTTTGATTTCCAATTAAAATATTTACAAACCAAAATAAAAATATCAATACAAGTAAAAAATAGTACACTTCTTCTTTAGGAGACCCAAACCAAACCAAATCAAACAACAGGACTCTGTCAAAAAATAAATAAAAAAAATCAATCAATTCGCATCTGTCTTACCAAAAAAAAAACCAATAGGATAAATAATTAATGTTGTACATGTCGATCAAACAACAAACTTCTTTTTCTAAAATTTAAAATTTAAAATGGTTTTAAGGATGTTGGTGGTGGTTATTGCTCACCACTCATCATTACTCTAGTTATTTAATTTAAAAAATGTCTTTTTCAATTAATAAAAGAAGAAAAGAAACTGACAAGGAACAACACGGGTAAGCATTTTAAGGATGATGGTGGTTATCGCCCACCACTTGTCATTACTCTAGTTCATATAAAAAACAGACTGAATTAAAAAAATTTTTTGTATATATATACTTGTTTAATACAATCTAGTAAAACATCATCTTTACGATCACCTCTCAAAGAAACTAATGAAAATCATACACAAGTATAATCATATTATTTATTTCAATACATTAATATTTAGTATTCAATTATGGTCAATATTGTAGATATTAATCTGATCTTTACAAAATAATCATTCTCTTTAGAAATTGGAAGAAAAGATAAAATATTTAGAAAATAAAATTGTCAAATTGAAAAATTCAAAGAAAAAGACAGGTAAAAGATTTCACAATACAAATTCTGGGTTATATACATTGGTGATAAAATTAACTTTCATCCATTCCATTTGAAATATTACCTGCACAATATTATCATCTATCTTTTTTTATATGTAAATTATCTGTCTGTATTATGTATGGTTTTACAATATTACTAACTCTTCTACTAGTTCTAGCAGACAAAAATACTTATGAAGAAATGGAGCAAAAAATCAAGCATATCTCAAAAATGAAAACACCATCATTGTTCTGTAAACCAAAAGAAATGTTGAAGGTTCAAGAACCTTTTATTTACAATCACAGACCACATTCAAGCACTCCAATTACTAGGGTTTGTATTCATGAATATCATAAGGGGGTCACACAGGGTCACACACTATTAAAATCAAGTGATCAACTCATGTTTTTAAGGGATTTTTTGCTGTTTAATAGTGTGTAACCCCCTTAATGATATTCATGATATTCATGAATAAAAACCCTACCAATTACAGAGTGTTTGCAACTTTTCAAGCAAATTGTCACGAACTTAAAATTACAAAAGATGATTGTAGATCAGCCATAGAATTAGTTAAATTGATGGAAAAAGTTTTTAAGTATGAAAAAGAAAGAAAATCAGAGTTCAACTTGTGGCTGTCAAATTATTTTAATGAACCTGTTGACAAACTACCACTTCCTGCTGACCATCAAGAAGCCGATATAGGCTCTGTTGTTATCATTGGACAATTATCATTTGTACTCCTTATTGGTGAAATAAAAAATGAGATTGGGGAAGGAGGTGGATGTGCATATGTGCAGGCTTGTGCATCTTATGCAAAACAAGTTGCTTTGAACAGAAATAATGTAATATGTCAAGGTCTTAACCCCGCTTTCCTTCTCTATCTTGCAGGTCCTTATCTTGGCATTGGTGGAGCTGTTTTAGGCAAGGAATTCACAATGGAACCTTTCACGCCAATGTTCCCACTTTTGTTTATGAAGAATGACTTAAGTGCAATGGAATCACTAACTCATGCCTTATTGGCATTGAAAGTTGGGATCAAAGAATTAAAGAATTATTATCTGACATGCTATGAACAAATTTGATGTATTGAGAACAATGCTCTCTTGTGGCCTGAAAACTTTCCACACATTTGTCAGTTCATGATAGGAGAAACAAGTTTTACTTTTTCTTATATGAAACAGCTACATAATGAAAAACTATTGTTTTTAGTGAAAGGATTATCTGGAGCTTTTTTGGGTAAATTAATATTAGTGAAATTTGTTAAAAGATATGGTATAGATGCTCATATTTATTGTGCAGATCAAGGAATAGCACCTAAATTCTATGCATATAATAAAATACCTGGCTGGTCTATGGTTGTTATGGAATACCTGACAGAATATGTTGATATTTACACTGCCATGCATGATCTTAAGCTAGATCGAAAAGTATTGTTCAAGAAAGCAGAAGAGACTATTAAAATCTTGCATGATAGAGACTTTGTACATGGTAACCTACAAGCATCAAGTATCTTGGTTTCAATTGATATGAGGCAAATGAGAATTGTAGACTTCGTTTGGAGTGGGTTAAATGGAAAAGTTTTTTATCCTTATTTTATAAACAACTCTGTTCCTTGGCATCATGAGGTAGACTGTGGAAAACCAATTAGAATGGAACATGACAAATATATTTTTAAAAAAATATTAGGATGTTGATCCTTCTTTTGTGGATAGTTTTACACATTTTTATAATAACAAACACTTGAAATTTATAATGTTTTTTATAATGTTGTTTAGTGCAAAAGTTGTTATTTTATTTGTACCTAAAATATTTAAATCCTTACTATTTATCAGAATAATTAACAATGAATAAAAAAGTGAATATTGTGACTATACATGCAGCCCAAAGTATTTTGACACTATCGTAAAGGTGGTTACACATGTCATAAAGGGGTGTTACACTTATGTTTTTAATAGTAAATACTGTAATTAATTTTGACTTTCAACCTTCAAAATTGGGATAATTTTGACTTTTGACATCAGCAAATCAATTTGTTCTGCATGTATAATTGTGACAGATCCAAGATATGTTATGTACTAGTTATTGTATGGGTGTTTAAAATATACATACATACTGTGGACTGGTGATAAAAACCACTTCCCTTCTATATATGGCAATAATTCATAAATCACTTCTATTTTAATCAATTTTAATTAAATTTCTATATTTAGTATATATTAGCAAAATATTTATTATTTTTTTACTACAAACATTTTTCTGATTATTTATTATTTAACTTTACTTCAGGAAGTAACATGTTCGATTGTAGAACTCTTATTTTCCAAAGGAATATCAATTTATCCATATTTATCATTATATAAATAGCTAGAATAGGGAAGTAACGAATTCAATTCATTCTTAGAATTAAAAATTCATTCTTGGCAAAGAGCCATGTAGGCAAAGCTGCTTATGAATTTGTATCACTTTAATATTAAAAAGTATTTAAGAGAGAGGAAGTCGAAGTCCTCTTCTCATCATGTTCTCACACATACTCCTTTGAAAATAATAACTTCTAATGCTTGTAACAATATTATAATCAAAATAATAAAGTTACTACTATTTTGGCAATATAACCCCCATGGGTATCTTCTTACTTATTGAAAACACTAATTGTTTTATAAACCAAACTCTTCACTATTTTCTATTAATTATTATTGATTTGATGAGGGATGCTCCTAGGAATAACTATTATCTTGAACACTAGTGGATATTCTTTGAGAGAATAATATATAGATGCCGGTTTTAAAGGAAGTTGAAAGACTACTTTGAGGAATTTATAAGTATACTTGAGTATTTTAGTTGGACAGTGTTGACGAATATTATATTTTGGTTGGTTAGAGTCCAATGAGGCTAGTGTTAGTGACTTCGTTTAAAGAAAAACAAAGTGTATTGGTAACAATCCCACCAGAAGTTGTGGTATACCAGATTTTGTATTATTATTTTA